GTTCATATTGGTTTCTCAGTCAACCACTGTAGAGGCATGGCTGTTGGTACCTCTGAAGGGCCATCAATTGTGTTGTGTTCTTGTATAGCTTTAATGGCTGGTGTCCACCATTTGTAATATCTTGTGATATTGTCCTTAGAAATATAGGCTCTGGAAGCAGCAGGAATGTTAATTTGGGTATTCCATTGCTGCAATAGGTAACGGCCCCATAAATTCACTGCAATATTGGCTACATATGGCCTTAGTTTTTCTATTTGTCCATCTGGACCTATACAATTGACCCATCTCGTGCTTTGTCTTACTCGAGATAGGGTTCCAATTCCTAAGAACTGAATATCTACCTCCTGAAGAGGCCAATGCGGATGCCAAGATTCTGGAGTAATAATACTTACATCCGCACCTGTGTCCAGTAAGCCAGCAATAAATTTGCCATTTACACACACTCTTAGCTGTGGTCTTTGTTCATTTATAGAAGTCTGCCAGAATATTCGTTTACTTTGTCCTCTTAGATTTCTTGATTCATTCACCACATTTAACTCATCCTTCAGGCCGTTATTGCTTTTAACAGCAGGCATGGGGCATTCTAATTTCCCTGAAGAGGCATGTTCTCTGCAGTGATTGGAAATGACTGGACCACATTTGCCATGGGGGCCTTTGAGAGGCCCCCTATTGAGTTTCCCGATGGCAACGGGTTGCCCTGTTTATCTTTTGTTGACCTACACTCATTCATCCAATGCCTGCCCTTTCCACATCTCCTACATAAACCTGAAGGCTGAGTCCTTTTATTCCTGTTATTCCTAGAAGAGGCATTATTCCTGAAATTCCATTGTCTGCAGTCCCTTTTCATGTGTCCCATTTTGCCACAATGAAAGCATTTTGTAATCTAATGTCTCCTTTTACCTTTGGAAATTGCTTCTTGCACCCATGTTTCATTGCCATAATCAAATGTATCAACATTCATTGTATGTAAAACCCATTCATCCAAAGGTGCTGATCTGAGCTTTAAAGGTCCCAGGATCCTTTTGCATTCTACATTGGCATTCTCATAAGCCAAAGACTCAATTACTATATTTCTTGCTTCTGGATCAGGTATCACTATTTGTACATCCTTAGTTAGTCTTTGTAAAAAGTCACTAAAGGGTTCTCTCTGACCCTGTTTGACCCTGATATATGATTCTACTCTCTGACCTGAGTCTTGAACCCTGTCCCAGGCCCTTAGAGCTGCTGTAGCACATATGGATAAAATGTTTTCATCATAAAGAGCTTGTTCCTGAGAATCAGAGTAAAGTCCTTCCCCTAAAATTTGATCTAGAGAAACCTCAATTTGTAACATGAGGGGGCCGGCTTGTTGGGGTTTCCATGCCGCCCAGTACCCCACAGCCGGCAAGTCCTAGAGAAAATCAACCACACAGAGATCTCTATAAGTTATAAAGCTGATTGGCCCATTTGGTCAGGCTACTTATTAGCTCTTATAACTTATTTTGCCCTATTATCCTTATCTACGTCAGCCACACGGCTCAGTACCTTTCTCAGCTGGGCAGTTTACATTCTGCCTCTTCGGTGGTCTGCGCAGGAGTGGCAGAGGGAGCTTCCTGTTTTCCTAGAATACTTCCATCTCTTTGCTCCACCCCTACTTCCTGTCTGGCTTTCCTGCCTATACTGGCTGCCTGGCCAATCAGCATTTTATTAAAATATGATTGACAGAATACAGACAATTCTCCCATACCATTTCCCTCTTTTTTTTTTAAACAAAGGAAAATACCCTTAATCCATTTGTTGGGAATGTGGGCGTAGTATTTCAGGCTACTTCTTGCTGGTTGGGGGCACTGATAATCTTATGGGGACCTAAAAAAAATGTAGAGTTATAATCAAGTCCTGACTGAAGTATCCTGTGAGTCTTGATCATCTCAGGCAGCAGTCTTGAACATGTTCTGGATGAAGAACTCAGACGTCTGGGCCATGTGTTCCTGTTGGAGATTTGTCAGGAGGCCTTCCTTGATGGAACCTGATTTTTCTTAACTCAAAATGAATCCACAGCTTCTCATTTTCTGTGGAAACAAAAGCAAAATCTCTTCTCCAAAGTAACATACCTTTTGACTTCAATTTTGAAGCCAAGGTATTTTCAAAGCACCTATCTTGGATTAGTTCAGCAGCATTTATAAACAAAAGTCTTTTAGCAGCTGTTGTTCCTTCCTCAGCATTCAAAAAATTCAAAGAGAGCATAATAACACACAGTATCAAGATTCTCTGTTTATTTTTCATCTTCATGTGGCTTTACTTTAACCTCTATTTCTTATATTTTTACTTTTAACTTTTGGCTTTTGAGACAGGTTCTCTGTATATATCTTTGTCCTGGAATAACTCTGTAGACCAGGCTATCCTTGAACTCACAGAGATCCTTCTGTCTCTGCCTCTCCAGTGCTGGGCTTAAAGGTGTGTGTTACCACACCTTGAACTCACAGAGATCTGTCTCTGCCTCCCAGGCAATTGGATTAAAGGCATGTACCACCATACCTTGAGGTCACAGAGGTCAATCTACCTTTGACCCTTGAGGTCACAGAGGTCAGTATGCCTCTGCCTTCCAGGCATTGGGATTAAAGGTGTGTACCACCACACCCTATTTCTCCCTTTCGTTTTTATTTTTAATGACTTTAACCTTTAGCCTGCATATATTTTTAACACACTGTAAACCATTTAGAGGTTTTCTTCCTCTTTGAATCTCTCTTTACTATATATCTCTCTTTTTCTGACCACACGAGTCTTCAATGGGTAAGACTAAAGCCTTGGTTTTGACAGTTAGATCCAGCCCATTCCTTAGCTTTCCAGCCCCGTGGCTGAGATACCACGAGAGCTGTGTTCACTGCCACAAATCTATAGCGTTTCAAGGTCCTTGCCAGTAAGCTGCAGCATTCTGCTCACAGACCACACACAGTCGGACTGCCTGCCTGAAAGAGTCAGAGTTTGCCCTGGCAGGACAGCCCAGAAAGCCGGCATTTTAAAATGGCACAGCTTTTTTCCTGCTATGTCTGAAAACCGAAAAGCATGCGTTCAGCTTTACATCAACACTGTTTAAGTTTTTCGTGGCAGTACCTCTTAAAAGAGCTGCAGAATTTTGCAGCTAAAGCTGAGTCAGGAAGCCTCTCTTAGATGAGAGCGCTTGCTTGCCTCTAGCAAGCAGTACAGACCTGAGAAATTGCTGCTACCAAGAAATCATGACTTACTTACTCTATTCTTTCCTAAGTTTTCTCAAGCTTTCTGTGGATTCAGTTATCCATGTTGGGCACCATATGTAACATGAGGGGGCTGGCTTGTTGGGGTTTCCATGCCGCCCAGTACCCCACAGCCGGCAAGTCCCAGAGAAAATCAACCACACAGAGATCTCTATAAGTTATAAAGCTGATTGGCCCATTTGGTCAGGCTACTTATTAGCTCTTATAACTTATTTTGCTCCATTATCCTTATCTACGTCAGCCACACAGCTCAGTACCTTTCTCAGCTTGGCATTTTACATCCTGCCTCTTTGGTGGTCTGTGCAGGAGTGGTGGAGGGAGCTTCCTGTTTTCCAAGAATACTCCCATCTCTTTGCTCCACCCCTACTTCCTGTCTGACTTTCCCGCCTATACTGCCTGCCTGGCCAATCAGCATTTCATTAAAATATGATTGACAGAATACAGACAATTCTCCCACACCATCAATTCCTTTCGGTGATTCTTGTTGTTGTAAAAGTCTGGCCTCTTGTTTGAATAGGCATTTGAAATGCCATAAAGGTCCATTCTCTAGGACAGCTGATGTGAGCTGGTTCCAATCTTGAGGGGTGGCCCTGCTGCTCAGAGCCCAGGATTTTAACACTCCCTACCAAAGGATGAATGTAGTCCATAATTCACAATTGCTTGTTTAAATTCTTTCAGATCATTCATACATATAGGCTCCCATGTATGTTCTTTAATGACCTTAGGGTTTTTGGAGCCGGTTATCTTTTCTGATGTTATTACTGGAAAGGCAGGTATAACTCTATGTAGACTGAGAGTTTTTTTTCCTGGTGCAAAGGTTTATTGCTCAGTCTGGGCACGTAGCTGGGGAAGTACAGATTACGCCCTAGCCTTGCTGGACAGAATCACTGTGTCTCAGACAGTAGCACTGCCTCCGGCCCAAAGGCTTAAGCAAAGACTTGTTGCTTGATGAAGAAAGCGGAAGTGGCTGGAGGATGTGGGACATTGTCTCTAATGGTTCAGGCCTGGTTTTCACTTCTCTCTCCCAAGGACTGGTCCCTGAATTAGGAGGGAGAACAGAGTCACATGGAATTGCTTGCGACTTCACATGGGATATTCTTTGCCCGTGGTTGATCAATAGGCATTGAACTCTGCCCTCAGCCACCCCTCAGCATAGCTTGGTTATTGGTCATAGCGGATGTCAATGTACTCTCCTTCAGTACACCATACCTTGGCCAGACAACCCTGAGTATTGTGTGGGGGCGAACGAGGTGGAGTGTGGAAGTGTCTAAGGACAGAGAGGGAAGACCCAGAGGGACAGGGACTGGGAGAGACCCTGAGCCTGGTATTTGGGAATAGGTTTGGCTTGTGTCTCTCCCTGGCACCCATCTCAAAGTCACTAATTTATCTATGTGAGGCTACAAAAGACCAGAGCTTGAACTTTGGATCCCTTGGGTTACTGGAAGGGACAGTCACTGACCACTGGGTGGACAGATGTTGGACTTGTCATATGCAAAGAGTAGGCTGGAATGACCTGCTGACAAGTGCCAGGCCTGCTTGAGGGAGGGATACCTCAAGCCCTTCATGAAAGCTGGGGAGGGAGGGTGGGCTGTTTGCTGAACCGAGATCCACCAGGTGAGCTGCTGCTGGTGGGGGTGGCAGAAGGGTGTCAGGAGACCTGGGTCACTGGGGCATTGCTGAGTCACTGTGAGCTCCAGCTGTCCCAAGTTCTGCCTTGTCCTAGCTGAGGCTAGCTGCTGTGGGTCCAAGAGGCCAGTGCAGCCAGGTGGTGAAGGGCGGGGTTGGGGACCTAGGGGAGGGTCCGCACTTCAAGCCTCAGGGCTTTGTATGTGTGGCTAAGAGAGCAGCAGGTTGAGGCACAGGAGTTATTGGAGGGGACTACAGGGCAGCTGGGCTACAGAGTCTCAGAGCAAGGGTCACACATGATTTCTGGCATTGAGAAGGACGGTGGAAGATCTGGCTAGCTAGGATCCCATCTCAGAAGAGCCCACAGTCTTTGAGGTTCTCCTTGATGATAATGTCAGTGACAGCATCAAAGACGAGCTTGACATTCTGTGTGTTGGTGGCGCACGTCATGTAAGAGTAGATCTCCTTCACGTCACGCCGCATGTTAAGCTCGAGGAACTGCACTTTGATGTAGCTGCCGGCATCCTCGTAAGTGTTAGGTCCATCGTAATTGGGAAAGCAGATGCTGAGGTGTGCCTTTTTTATCTTCTCAGAGAAAACGTCCTTCTTGTTGAGGAAGAGCACAATGGATGTTGTGGCGAAGTAGCGATGGTTGCAGATGCTGTTGAACAGGTGCAGGCTCTCGTGCATTTGGTTCACTTCATTGTCCTCCACCAGCACCATGTCATAAGTGCTCAATGTGGCGATGAAAATAATGCAGGTCACACCATCAAAGCAGTGGATCCACTTTTTGCGCTTGGACCGCTGCCCGCCCACATCGAACATTCTGAAGTTGAGGTCCTTGAAGGAGAACTGTGTCTCGATGATGCCAGTGGTTTTGACATGAGAACGCAACACGTCCTGCTCAGTGGGCACATACCCTGGAGCCACCAGACGCTCGAGATCTGAAAGGTAGTAGCCAGCAGAGTCATTGAGCTGGTACTCTGAGGCACGTTCAAAGCAGGCTTGGATGCCCGAGTCTTTCCACAAACGCTGAATGATGTCGGACATCTCCTTGGGCATCGTGCCTTCTTCAATGGTATCCGCCATGTGCATCAACTTCTGGGCATCATCCTGTCGTGCGGAGTCTCCATACTGAATGTTGAGCATGGTCATAGCCTGAACAATGGCCAGGATGGACTCGACTGAGAGTTTTTTGAGGTGAATGTTGCCTTTCTACCTTTTGCTCCTGTTCATCAGAGTCTATGATTTCCTCAATCTTAGTAAATCTGCTCACCATTATCTTCTGTAAGTCCTGAATCTCCTGTCCAGTATTATGCTCCAAAGCTTTCATTAACGATTCTAAGGCATGGAGCTTGTCTGTCAGAGACACCATTTCCTCCTTGGACACAATCCTCATGGCATGTACTGTGCCTTCTTATATGGAAATCCTGTCAATTAATCTATCATACCCTTTTGATAAAGTCCGATTTTCACATTCAATGGTTATAATCCTCTCAGCTAATGTTTCAGCACTTACAGTCATGGACTGGAGGTTACAAGTCATTTTGGTTGTCCCCTCCTCCAGAACAGTGAAGCTCCCTTCTAAAGAAGCAATATCAGACTGTACCTTCTTGATATTTTGGTCAGTCGACCGAGTCATATCAGACAAAGATCTAGTCTCCTCCTTGAAATCTCCAAACTCTTTTTTGAGGAGGTTGGTATCAGTCTGAATTGTTCTTAAGGTTTTAATCTCTGCCCTCAGCATTGTAGATTCAGTCTGTAAGGACTGTATCTTTCTTATAAAATAGCCAAACACCAGAAAAGCGACAGATCCCAGGAATAACAAAGTAAGAGGAATATCAGAGACATCCTTCAGAATATCCTCCATAGCACAATTTAAAAAAAAAAAAACATTGAACTTTTGGATAGTAATATTTTCTGACATTTTCAATCAAAAGAAATTGTACTTGTATATATGTATGTATGTATGCATGTATGTATTTTCAACCGAAAAGAAAAATCTTACCTGTAATGACCGTTGCCTGCCAGTAGGAGGTGGGGCGCACCTGAATCCACGTGGCAATGGCGTCAATTCAGGACGTAAATTCTAGAATATATACACTCAAATCCAGAGGTTAAATTCACAGATCACAAAAGGTCAGAGAGCTTCTAGTGGCCAATAAACAAGGCAGCCTGGCCTACCCCGGCCGGGCTCTCCTGCCCTGCTGCTCTGTTCAACCCGATGCAGAGGGTCGTGACACAGTCACTGCGTTGTTGCTAAAGAGGCCTAATGCTTTGGGCCCCATGTCCCTGTGCTGGGATTAAGGGTCAAGCTGCTTGCAGCACTCCCAATCAGTTATGGCAGATGGCAGGGGTTTCAAACAGCTTGCTAGAACTTCAAAGGGAGTTCTTTGACTCACGTTGCAAGGAAAAATTTAAAAATCCGTGCAGAACAGGGCAAAGTAGGCTGACAGAGACTGTCCGGCCCTGTGTATTCTGGGAGGCATGGAGGTTATGGCTGAGGGAGGGCTCATGCCAAACCCAGCTGGTCAAGTCGAGCTGGCAGGAGGTAGCCAAGCCAGAGGCCGAGATGGGGGTGGGGGGGTGGGAGGGTGAGGGGGTGGGGTGGTTCTTAAACCAAACGCTGGGCGACAAATAACGGCGAATCAATCCCACACCAGTTATGTTTTACGGGGTTATTTATTTTGGAGGGTAAAACTTAACATACACCATAAACCGTCAGGAAGGGAGCCTAGTCGCTGGAGCAGGAGCCGGGAGCAGGAGCCAGGGCCAAGCGCCAGAATCAAGAGGCCCGAGCCGAGATCTGTGGCTCTTTTTAAAAGAGAAATATACCACGCCCCAGTGGGCTGGTATTTCAGCGGCTATTGGCTGACGGAGCGGAAGGCCCTCCGCAGCACCATGGGCTCATGCTTCAGTGACTATTGGCTGAAGCAGCGGAAGATACTCCCGCAGCAGATGTATCCATCCCCTATTTTATATTACATTTCCCCCATTGGACTATACTAGATCCTATAATGGAATCTATATACTTTGTGTCCACGGAACTTACTCTCAACAGTTGGCAATATGTGTATTCCTTTTTCTTTATTCTGTGCACACATGCCTTACTCTCCTTTTTTGAACTGTGAGACATGATTAATGTTGCAGGTGTTGTTTCCTTATACGTACCTAACAGTCTGTATTGAGTCAGAAATGTCCTCAAGATTAGCAGTTATGGTTAGTAATTCCAGAAGCATTAACTCCCGGTTAAATCTTAGGGGAAAATATTCAAGAAAGATCACAATTTCCAGGGAAAATTATAGCTATTATTGTCTTTCCTTCAGGATGGGTCAAGAAGAGTCTAGAGAAAAACAAACAATTCTTTGTTGATATTATTAAACATATGCTTAAGAAAAAAGGAACTGATATCAGCACTGGTCAACTGACTGTTGTTTGTCTGTTTGTTTTTCTCAAGTTTGTACAGTAGCCCCTGGTTTCCAGACCAGGGAACTTAAATATAAATATTTGAGATACAGTAAGGACAAATATTACGAACAAGTATACAGAAAATTAAGGGAAGATCATGTCTCTTACAGCATTTTTTGGTTAGGGTGTGCTTAGACAGGCACTGGCAGGTGATAAAGAGCCTCAGTGTGATCAGGAGCCCTTTGCTCCCACTCCTCATGGGGAGCTCCATTGTTATCTCATTCAGGATCTAAGGAAGAGGCAGCAAGGTATAATCCTGATTGGCTTACTCTGCAAGGCCTGACTGTAAATCACTCCACAGGACCCCAAGAGAAATGTAAATAGGTTTGATGGGATTTGCTGTTACCCAAGCCAGGCCTAACAGCTTGGGAATCACTGGGGAAAGGAAAGAGTTAATTTGCAAAATGCTTCTGGGTGTGGAAAAATAATTTGGAGTGGCTTCTCAACCGGAACAAAGTAAGCCTTGCTGGCGGTGTCTGTGGCTCTATGCCAGGACGCTGACACAAAACTGGAAATTCAAAAAGGTGATCCCCACCCAGACCTTAATCCCAGCGTCTGGGATATTTCTATTTACCCATCTTTCCAGTTATTTCCTGCTCTAAGCACTTGTGTCTCCCCTCCCTCTGGGTAAGTGTCCCTGCAGACACTTTTTTTTTTGTTTACTTTTACGAGAAAAGTCACATCAGTGTATCCGGAAGCTTCTTCTAGCTCTACCCAGCTCTCATCACATGGAGAGGACACCTCTCCTCAGTGACTCCGGACATTTCTCTCTGACAAGTCTTTCGGTCCATTTGGAGATGTCTGATATTGCAGCTCCTTACCAGGACCCTTAGCCTCTCTAATTCCTCAGGATTCCTCCTAGTGCCCTCCTTTAGCTTCCTCCCTTCTCCCTCAGAGCTGCCTGCAGTCTTCAGTTCTCATTTAACCTTAAGCATCTTTCCCCTCGACATTCTGGGATGACCTTTGCCCCCTGTCGCCCATGGAATAACCCTATTTTCACTCACGGTGCACTATAAAAGGATTAATAAAATTGCCAGTCTCCTTATACATTGTCTTGATGATCGAAAGGCTTCATTTCAATACTAAAGAACTTCATTTCAAAAGCATTATTTTTAAGACTAAACTGAACAAGGTTGGAACATAAAGTCCTAGTATTACAAAAGTTACTAACTTACTGCCAACTGGTAAGGTTAATTTAACAATACAAGTTACTGGCTAATAAGTGACCTAATAAATGATCAAACTCTTACATGTGTTCAGAACTATATTTGTGGTCACACTAACTATTAATGCAAAATATTCTTTGCTCAGCCCCTGGCATTTAAGATGTTTAAGCTTCTCACAGTTGACAAAACTATCCCGTGACTTGCTTGCTGCCAATTATGTAGACATTGACTCAGTCACCCCACTCTTTCTGATTAAGGCAGGGCCAGCCCCCAAGTGACTTTCTTACAGAAAAATCTCAGACCTGGATTTGGCAGGCAAAGCCTATGATGCTATATATGACATCTGAAGACCTACAACCACTGCCCTCCCAAAGACTATGGAGACCACTGGACCCTAAGGCAACGTGTCCGGGCAATGGCATCTTTCATTTTAATTGATACAAAGACCAATTAGATTGTATTTCCAGTCACTGTTTATCCTTTTTAAATCTCTGAGAAATTGACTGACTGCAGCTTTAAACATAACAAACACTTTTCCAAGACTTCAGCTTCCTTCTCAGTTTTCTTTAAAGGTAAAAATCGGGTCATTGGCCTCATTTCCAGAAGCTGAAGCCAAGTCTACCAAATAAGAAATAAACTTACCAAGCAGATTTTAAAGTAACTTTTTACTATTCCTTTGTTAAAGGAAATTTCAAGAATCAACTACTTATGTCTTCCGATAAATAACTGGATTGAAAAAAAAAAAGATGCAAAGCTTAAAGATTAAGTTATAAGGATGCGGGAGAATTGTCTGTATTCTGTCAATCACGTTTTAAATAAACGCTGATTGGCTAGGCAGGAGGTGTAGGCGGGAAAACCAGACAGGAAGTGGAAATGATATAAGGAGAGCAGGAGAAGTCTGGAAAGGAGGAAGCTGATTCCTCCCACTCCTGCCCAGATCACCGAAGCAGTAGGATGTGAGCTGCCCCACTGAAAAAGGTACTGAGCTACACGACTCAAATAGATCAGATAAATGGGTTAATCAAGATGTAAGAGATAGCTAGCAAGTAGCCTGACCTAATGGGCCAATCAGCTTTATAACTTACGGAGTCTTTTGTGTGATTTTTCTCTGGGACTAAATAGCTGTTGGGCCGGGCAGGACAGGAAAACACAAACAACCAGTCCCAGCCTTTTCATGTTACATAAGGATTCAAAAAAAATACTTTTAGGTATAAAAAAGGTGTTTTAAGGTATATAAGCACAAGTTTACATAAGGTCTGAGAACACAAAGTCTTAATTTATGATAAAAATGATTTAAGACACACAAAAATAAAAAAAATGTTTCAACTCTCTTCCCCTCTCTATAATCTTGTTATATTGAGACTTCTAAATAAATAAAACTCTGATAAGCTATTAATCTAGCTCTAGTAAACACTGAATATTATCATAATAATAAGTTCAAGGTTTTAAATTCCTTTTAGTTGTTTTCTAAGTATAGAATTTAAAAATATATTTCTAATTGTGCTAAAAACATCTGCCTAATCTATATATACCCAGTCTTTTGGATAAAGGAAAAAATGTTAATGCTTTCAACCAAAATCAATTTTAGGTTTCCAAACTTTTACTATGACTCAAGGTCATGAGTCTACTGCCTTTTCTACAACATGAATACAGACTATAAACAGTAATAATGCTAACAGATATAGAACTGTTGCCTCTTTAATAAGAGTCTTATAAGCTTTAGGAAATCAACTTGGATCCACCACCTCTCACAGGTCAAAACAGACTCCAGATAAGTACCACCAATCAGCAGTCTATTTCATTACCCACCTATACCTAGGGGGTGTGACCTCTTCTTCTTCCCCTGGTTTGGGACACCCCTCTTCCATCTGCCAGCACCATGGACCTGGAAATTTCAAATGTACACCTAAGAGAAAAAATTCCCCCTTAAAATTTCCCCTCCAGGGAGGGGGGCCTCCAGCAGCATGGGGATTGGAAGGGAGCAATGGAGTCAGCATAGTAGACTTTTTTATCTCTAGTGGGGAGGGGGGGAAGAAAGACACTCAGGTACTCTTTTGATGGTTTTCTTCAGATGTTTTCTTTCTTCTTTCTTATTCTCATTTTGTAATTTCTTCTCTCTTTTCTTATCTCCATCCTTTCTAGCCTTGTGCTGATGGAGGCTGCCCACCTCTGCAGAAAATGAAGTTAAGGAATTATAAGGACGTACCACGCCTTTGAGATTATGGGTGCCAATTACACACAAACTACCACATGATTCATCACAGATCTTTCTCTGTACAGGAAATGTGCAATGCAGGATAAGGAACAACAGCGTCTGACAGGTTTACCTCTGACTGCTTCCATCCTGAAACCAGCAGGAGAATGAGACGACTGAGCAACTCATTTTTATCCCTTAGTGATTTCATCTTCACTTAAATGAGTGTACAATTCCTAGAGACTCACACATGTATAAGTTTGTTGGGTATGAAAAACTGAATGTTGGAGTTTGTGCCTGTTAGGAATATTTTCTTAAAGCGAGTTCTCTGCCGACGCAAATAATCCCAGTCAAGCCAAATCAGACCAGATTAAAAGATATCCAGGTTTAATTAGACACCTGCACTCCCAGGTGGCCCCAAAGGGACCAGGAAGTCATCAACATGACCACTGGAGAGGAAACGGGAAAGCCACGTGTTTATATTTTGGGGAGCAGTTAAAATAGACTATGGGATGGTCTTGACCTTTCCTGGGGAGAGGTCAGGGTTTGGTGGGCCCCCTTGACCCTCCTTGGGTAGGGGTCAAGGTTCGAGGGGCACAGGAGAGGGACGCTGAAGGCTTGGGTTTATAGTGCCTACTTACATTTGTAGGAAAAAGAAAAATAACTGAGTAACAAGAAGCTCAGATTTTGAGATTTTTTGTTTTGTTTTCCTGGAAACTACAAGAAAAAAAAAGCTGTTTTTCTAGCTGGGGAAATCGAAAGCTATGAACGCTGCTGGGAGGAGTCCTATTTCATCACCACTCTCCCCAGGGAAACAGCACGGGGTCAGACATCTAGCACTGCTCAAATCAGGAACTTACTTTCTAACCAGTTTCCTGGTCTTCCTTGTTATTTAGTAGATATTACATTTTCTCAGCATTTAATGAGAGTCCAGCACCCTGCTGTGTACTTTTTGAGAGATTTATCATCCCACACAAAATAGACAAGCCCTATTTCCTGCCTTGTTGAGGATCTACAATCTGGACATTACTGAGGAATTTCCAGGGAGGTAAGTTCTACCCTTGGAAATAAGGAGTAGCGGTGTGACACCCACAAGAAGGTAGGGGATCACTAGAGGTTCTTCCAGTGCAGGGTGTGGGGGGAGCAGAGATGGCCCTAGCTGCACTAAGGGCGGGGAAACCCTGCAGCAGGGTTCTACTCCTTCATTCAAGAAGATGGCAGACACATTTTTTCTTTACCTTGGAGCTTGAGGCAAGAAAAGATGGATTTTGGGTATTGTGGATTGTAAAATAAACTTTCTACGTTTGAATAAATAGAAAACGATAATAAGGCTTTAGCTATCTTTGCTGGAGAGAGCGTGGAAACTGGTGGCTGTGGCACATGACTGAGGAAAAATTACAAGGGAGTGATATGAAAAATTACCATGAAATAACATTGAGTGGAAAATGCATCTGCGCATGGGGCTGTATTATCTAGTGATATCCTAATACTGCACAGCACGAAAGCCAGCAGATGTGTATAGTAAAAATTTTCTAAGATTCACAAACACAGTGGCTCAAATACATCCTGTTTTAATAAGCATATTTAACATCTTCTTCTTCTCCCCTTTACATAAGGTAGTAAAAACTGTAATTAGTCTCTGGGAGAAACTTCCTGTCATCATGAAAGTTACTTTTTTTGCTTGATTATATCTTATTTGTTTTTGGTTTTTGATCATACAATGTGGGGGATAAAGGAGAGTTAAATACGAATATACTTCTATTTCTACTTTTCAAATGTTTTACAAATTTTTGTGTCCTCTTGCATAGTACTCCATGTGTACTTAAACTTCATAATTTAAATGTTGATTAGAGAGTTGTATCCCTACTAGACCCACATTGATAAGTTTATCGGTTATGTTGCTCAAACATTCTAGATACTAACAAATGTTTTTGCCTTACTCATTCAGTAACTGATACAATGTTGTATTGACCACAAAACTGTGGGTTATCCTTTTGATTTTTTTCAAATTCACAAATATGTGCTCTCACAAACATGGAACATATATGATGTAAATATGTGTGATGTGTATACTTGTGTGAAAATATAATCCATGTTTTACAGAGCTGTGAATGAACAAAACCATAACAAATAACAAGCACAATTACCAGTAGTTACATCTATAATTAAAATGACTATAACATCTAGGATGAGAAGGTTTATCATATTTTGGAATTTGATAAGAGTTTTTAACTTCAATACTACTAAAGCTCCACCAGTGTACATAAACATGATTTTCTTTAGTTTCTAGTTAATTTTGAGTGTTTTTCACTGCTAAGGGATATTTTATTAACAACCTAGGGGTACATTTCTTAAATAACAATTCATAAAAGTTGTCACTGAACTGGTTAGAGCCTTCATTATGGGCTGCTAAACAGCAGGTTTCTGTTCTGCTTCTGCTAAGGTCGTTTCACTGTAGGATGTCTCTTTCTTACATCAACACACTGTATGTCCTCTTTCATCTGCCCCTCAACCATGCCGAGGCACTTCCTCTTCCACTGTTTATTTAATCAGGTCTTCATTTTTGTATAATTCATGAAGGAAGAACTGTATTTTCTTCTTACTCAGGTATTTTGTTCTTTGAGAGAGTCACACAGTGTAATTTGCCCATATTCAACCCCTTCCACATCTCCATTCAAATACCTACTCCCTTCTCTATCCAACCAACTTTGTAAGTCCCCTTGCTTTAAAACTCATCAACTACAGTCTGCAATCAACTAACCATGGACCGTGCCGTTATTAAGAATGGTTCTCCCCCTTGAGCAGCTGTCAAGTGCCCAAAGCTGGGCACTTTGTGTCCTCCCCTTCTCACTTTATGCTGGGGTTTTGTCTGGCTTAAACTTCTGGTGCTACTACAACTGCTTTGACCTCACATCTGTGTGCAGCTGTGTTCACAAAGACTCTGTCCCTGTAGTCATTCACCACCTCTGGTCTTCAAAATTTTTTCTTTGCCATCTTTTTCATGTTTTCCTGAGCATAATATAGGCAAAACTAAAATTGGGTGTTTTAAAGAGACTGAACATTTAAAGTGTTTAGATTTTTAGCAGTGAGGCTGAACACATATTAATATTCATGATTAGATGGACATAGTTTGACATTGATTCACATATAAGATTTTGTATAATACTGGAAATTCCATTGAGGTTTGGATAATTAGCTCAAATTTATAATCAACAATATTCTAATAACAAAATAAAAGTTATATATAAATGGGACCCATGAAAGTGACACTTACTCTCAACCAGCACATATCTGGTGTATTTAAAATAGTTGTATTTTCACAAGTACCAACCTAAATGAAAAGTTTCTCTTTTAATTTTCTCAGGATGTGGAGATCAGTGTTATATGATGTACTATTAAAAGTCAGTTTTAGTCTACTCCTTGAATATGTAGATTATCTATTTTTAAAATGTTTTAAGGCTTACAGAGTATGTCTCTTTCTTAATACTCTTTATCTTCCCTGTCAATTGTGCTTGTGTGGGATTCCATTCATCCTTGGGTTTCTTTGAGCGTGTTCAATTTTTTGTTCAACATGTTGAAGATGTTCAATTTTTTTCAAAAAAAAGAAAAAAATTAAAGTCCTATTACACTAAGATCAATATAGACATGATTCACGAACTGAAACAACATAACTTGGAGTTAGAATATTGTATTCATTCCATTCTCTGAAGATCATTAAGGAAGTATATAAATTTGAAAGAGCTACAAAGCAAGACACTCAGTCCATTGGGGAATTTTGTAAATTTCCAGAAAGCAAATTCTTAGTTGCTTCTATTTTTTTTTTAATTTTTGTTATTCCCTTATACATTTCTGGTGCAGGAGGTCCTTCTGTTTATGTGTTGCTTTCATTGGTTAAATATAGAAACTGCCTTAGCCTTTTGATAGGGCAGCAGTTTAGGTGGGCGGGGAGACAGAACTGAATGCTGGAAGAAAGAAGGGCAGAGGGCAGACGCCGTGGATCTCCTGCCTGGGACAGATGCCAGTTAGAATCTTTCCTGGTAAGCCACGACCTCGTGGTGATACACAGATTGGCGGAAATGGGTTAGATCAGGATGTGAGAGTTGGCCAAGAAGAGGCTCGATATAAGGGGCCAGGCAGTAATTAAATTAATACAATTTCTGTGTTGTTATTTTGAGGGTTAAGCTAACCAGGTGTCAGGATGTATCCCGCTGCTCCTTCTACTACACATTTCCCTGATGAGGGTTAAAAGACATATGAATATCATAGTAAGTTTAATTCTACTCCTGCTTAGAAGCATAAATTAGGAGGTTTGCAAATAGGAACTATGAGTAGTCCAGTCACAGGTTCTCAGTTTTATTAATGGTGCCAGGTATAGGTTTCAACTCATAAAGGTCTTAAGTCAAATCACAAAATGGATGGTTAATCCCACAACATTCATGCTACTATTGTACACTGAGCTTATCTTGCCAGACTGGCTTTTATTATAAATACAAGGAACCACCACTGAGGAAGATAAATGATTGTTTTGCTGCTCTTCTATTGTGCATAGTACCTTCCAGAATTAGAAATCTATCAAGTAGAGATGAGGCTTCCAGGTGAGTAACAACCTCATTTCTCCATGTTCGGTGACTCAAACTTATGTCATCTGCAATAGAGTCTTACCATCTGGAGTGAAATCAAGAGCATTGGCAATAGGCTATATGTTGGGGCTCTATTAAAACTGATTGGCCAATAACTTCATAAGAGGAAATTCATTCCTACTACTGGGATTTGGTTTAGCTTAGGGCATTTTGTAGAAGCATTGTTAAACCACTATAAAATAATTTCATATAAATTCTTGATAGATAGATGATATGTAAATACATGATAGATAGATAGATAGATAGATAGATAGATAGATAGATAGAAATGATAGATAAAGTTATGTGTAGTATGCATTTGAGGAAACTTATTCAGTAGTAGATTTCTATTTTAGTTCTTTGAAATGAAATTATTGTCGGCTACTCTTCTTTCTTTTCCTTTCACTAGCATAGCCTTCCACTAAACATCTCTTTCAACTCTTAGGTTTTCAAAATTTATGAAAAGTAGACAGAGAAAGAAATGTAGGAATGGCTTTCTAAACAATGAAGAAGAAATTAGTCATATAATAAAACTTGACAATAGTATATTTTGTAATTTTGAAGCACATGATATCAGAAATTAAAATAAACATAAATCAAAAGAGCATATTATTTAAGGACTTATGATATATCTTATAAGGAAGGAATGTTTTTAATAAATCAGTAAACTATTAAAGAATTTGGGGTAGATTTAAGCATGACTTGTAGTTAGGAATTTTTGTCTATGAGTAAGAAACACTAAGTCAAGCCTGAAAGAGAAAATCAAGAAACTATTGACATAATTCCATTCACTAAATTTTAGGGCGCTACTATGAAAATTATGTAGATGTTTGGGAAATTAACAGTAATATCAGCATGAAGGTACCAAAGAGCACAATCTAAGCTCAGATAGGACAGGATGCTAGTGAGGGTTGTTTGCGAGAACGCCTAGCAGAGAAGGCTCAGAGCCTCAGAACAGGCCATGCTACTTCAGTCGTTGTTCATCCAGGTATATTGTAGAAAGATGCAGTCCATGTGTATATAGGCCACTTTAGAATGGGAAAAGTCAGAACCCAAAGGCAGACATCCAGCAAAGGGCTTCACCACCAAATGGGAATGGGAAATGGACCCAGGATTTTAGCACTTGCAGCCCAGATTCTAAACACTGCAGCAATTACTGATCTAACACTTTTCTTCCCCTACAACTGCCACTGTCCGAAGTCACATAACATGGCTAATGGGGAAGAATTTCCTAGACTTGTTTGTTAATTCTGAAGTTCTACATCTGTTTCACACAGTGGCACATTTATCTCTTTCATGAAATTATGAATAATATTATCAAGTGGGGTCATGGGGTCATACACTCACATGGGAATATCCTGTTTGGACAATTGTCTGTGTATGTGTGTAATGCTGTATCTATTTTCACCTTTTAGGCTTCTCCATCATTTTCGAGACAATGAATGAGTATAAGAAAATTGTTCTTCTAAAAGGATTGCATGGTGTGGATGACTACCACTTTAGGCTAATTAAATCCATACTAAGAAAAGAACTAAAGCTAACTAAAATGATGCAAGATGATTATGACAGAATTCAAATTTCTGACGTGATGGAGGACACATTCCCAAAAGATGCTGGACTCAACAAACTAATAGAAGTGTTTCAGAGCATTAAAGATCTTGAAGACCTTGCTAAAACGCTTGAAAAAGAGAAGGCAAAAGGTAACAGGGTAATATCCTGGTCATTCATCCCTTCTCTACCCTCTCCAAACTTTCTAGCTCCCTGTAGTGATCAGAGCTGATAGGTTGCTTTCCTATTGTGTTTCTTAGAAGCTATAGGGGTTGAAGCATTTCAGATGCAACAAGTTTATTTCGAGAAATCATTTCTTACAAAGGTACTTGATGTATTTCAGGGTAGACATCTTTTGCATTGGAGGTTAAAAAAATAAAAAGCAGTTGTTGAGATAGATCAGAACTTCCAAAATGAAGAAAAACTAGAAAATAATAAAGTGAGAGTTGGAAAAAATCATGTAAAGCATATAGAGTAATAGAGTAAATGTTATATATAAATAACAATGTTACACATTTATTAATATATTTTCTGGTTACAAATACAATCCAATATTTAAATAGAGATCTGTATCATAGAGATGTGAAGAAGAAGTTTCTATTCATAAAGTGACTGAATTTAATACATATTAGATATACTGGTGCAGAACTCTGACCCAGAATTCAACATAAGGAAGCCCTGATAATGCAATATCTCATTTTACAAGTCTGTGCCAGATTTCCTTTCATTGGTTTCTATGATTTGAGTGTGTTATACACAAAACATGAGCAATCAGTTTGATAAAAACTGGATTTTTTAATTTTTCCATTCAAAAATTTACACTTCCTCCCCTTGTGCCATTTCCCTCCCACTCCCCCACTCACCTTCCTCCTTCCCCTAAAAACTGGAATTTTAAGAGAATGGTAAGAAAATAGAAATGAGAAAAGCTTGGCTGATGTATATGGGTTCAAAACAAGAATTTTCTCATTTTGTATGGAATAAGTAAGGAAAATAGCAAGTAATGCAAGATGGTGGCTAAGGCTGTGCCTTTAATGATTTATCTCTACAGTAAGCTAGTGAAATAAACATTGATATGAATGCAATGGAGAAGAAATAGCAGGAGAACTAGATATTTCCTTGATCCTCTGTTTTGGTTTACGGGGGGGGCTGTTTTATTCACTCGTTTGTTGTGATGAAAATTATACCCATCCCAGTAAAAGGAAAAAAAACCATGGGCAAAAAGAGGCAAAAAGCAGATTCTTCTGTACCTACATCGACTACAAGCAACACTTTAGCATCTGATGGAGGGGAGACATCCACAGCTCAGGTGAGCCTGGGGAACAGTGGTGGGCTGGCAGTGCACAGAGGTAGCAGCAGGGCCTCTTGCCCCTACTCTGTCCATCAAGTACTTAGTGTTTTATTAGTTTATCTTCAAGCTTTATCAAAACCTATGATAAGTGATCATGTCGCGTTAATATGTGATCACTCCTACTAAAGATGCTGTGAACATGAAAATCAGGTAGAACAATGTCTGTTCCCTGTGTACTCAAAACCTAGTTTTCAAATTCAAATTCAGTTTTGTCCTACCATAGAGGTAAAGATAGAAAAAAATGTATATATAACTTTTTCTTCTACCTTTATTTAATCAAGACTGCTATCCACACATTTTGTCATATTTATTATTATATTTTGCCTGTCCAGAGGGTGAGTGTTACCCCTTCAAGTCCCCAAAACATTCAGGCATAATTAAATTAGTAGTAGATTGAGTAATTAGATTTGTAGATTTCTACTACCTAATAAAGAAGACACACTCTGTTCACTTGATACTGAGATTCATTAACAGGCTAATGGATACGCTTTCAGAAAAGAAAAAGTATGAATGAAGAGAAGCCTGAAGTGAAAAAGACCAAAAAGTCTGAGGGGTCAGATTGCCCTGACTCTCCTGGAGAAGCTACAGTCAGATGCCAGACCCCAGGACCCCAGATCTCATCTCCAACTTCATCAAACCCTTCTTTGGCTAAGGTACAAGGTTTCTGCATCCCTTTCTTTTCTTCAATCCAAATATCAGAATCAGATCTTCAAGTCTGATCATTTTTCCCACTTATCACTAAGATTTAATTAATCAGACACATACAGAAGTTGGAAATGATAGATACAGATCTTCATCCAAAGTCAGAAACAGACACAGAAATAAAGGTGATACAAATAGAATTTTCTGTACCGTAATACTTTGTTGCCCTGGGGACACTTAATGAAACTGACATTTCTTCTGGCAGTGAGGAGTTTCCTGACTTGTCTTCATCCCAGGCAAGAAGAGAAAGGTGAAAATTCCAGTACATACAATGGTCACTAGCAACGGACTGCTTATCTCCTCTCTCACACTATCCCATACCTCTTCCTTTTAAATGACTGACCTGTAAATAAATTCTCTTTAACAGGAATCAGGGGTACCTCTTTCTTCAGAATTTTTGGCTCACTATATATTCATTCCAGCTCAAATTCCTGTAAGTGTCTAAAGACACCCAAGCTCTGAATTTTAATGTTTGTATCTTGTTCTATCCTTACTATTTCTTTCCAGAATCCCTAGCCACACTAAGTTAAAAACCGATAGTGCTTGCCTGAATAAAATATTCTTGCTTTATTGCCAGCTATGGCACATAACTAATATTTATTTCCCAACTTTACTGTGTATTGTACGATTATGGTTGCCCTATTTTTCTATAGATACTTTCAGATCTAATATTTTAAGAAACTCAGAAGTAAGAATCTGTGGAGCACGATGTCTGTCTACGATCTGTGCGCCGCCATACAGTTCATGAGCCGGGCAAGGGACTGGAGATTGAAACACACAAAGACTCACAGAGAGACACAGGTCATCATTGATGCAGGAATGTCCCAAGAATGCCTCCTTTTATGGTGTGCAGGGGCAGCTTATATAGGGATAGCCATGCCCTAGCCAAACGCACCAGAAACCATTCTCATGCAGTCAAGAACTCCTGAGGATCTTGTGCTCAGAGCAGCTGTAGGCACTCAGATCAGGGGAAAGCAAGTTGTTTACCAGAAATTCGGGATCAGGGGTTCACTGCTCCCAACAAGAATCAGCACAGCTAAGAAGTGTAAATGAGAGCTGTGCAGTCCATAAGTCTCTGATAGGTGTCTTGTGAGATTTAGAGGTCACAGAACAACATAATGATATGGGTGAAATTGGATAATCAACACTTTTTGGTTGGATCTAAGGTGCATTCTATGAGATAGAATCCATAACTGAAGCTGCTATAGCAATCAAGAATCTAAGACTAGATAGATTATGGACCTGGGTAAAAACACCTACTACTATTATTCTGTTTAAGAAACATAGCAGTAACACGATTCATAATGACAAGCTGTCATATCTAAAGATCAGTGCTTCATTCAGGTCTCATCGGAGAAGCTTCTTCTAGTCATAGAAGGGCATTAACACAGAGACCCACAATTGGCCAAAGTGCAGACAGTGAGAGACTTCACAGTATCCATCCCCCAATGGAGTATCTGCATCAAATCCCTCTCCTCAAGATTCAGAGATCTATGTTGAAGAAGAGGAGGAACAATTGTAAGAGGCAGAGATGGTACACGACTTCAAGAAAGCAGTCTCTCTTGGACAAACAGGACCGATGTACATATGAGGTCAGAGACGGTAGTGGCACACGTTAAAAACAAAACACAGGTCCAAGCTGCCTGGAATCCCAGAACAGAGAGGAGGAAATAGACACAAAGTCCCACCTCCATAAGAAGCTACTTTTAGTTGATACCAACTAGCAAAGGGATAATCAGTTTTCTCAATCATAATCTAGATCAGATCCCACAGCTGGGAGTGTTTGACCAACAAAAAAAGAATTCCATATGTATGTATAGGGGGTTATTTTGTTTTATTTGAAATTTTTCAGTTTTGTTTGCTTTTATTTTCTGTACTTTTATTTTTTGAGAGTGAGGGAAAGAACACTAAAGATTTCCGAGGGTGGAGGATCTGAGAGGAGCTGAAGGAGGGAAATCATGATAAATATATATTGTATAAAAATATAAATAAAAACAATAGAAAAATAAAAATTTTGGGAACAAATATTTAGTGGGGATAACTAAAGAATATTTGGAAATTTGGGAAAGTGTGCATTCACCAGAAACTGAGAAGAAAAGAAAGTGAGCTGTAATTCATTTCATGTTTACTCTTCCCAGGTCAGGCTGTCTTCACTTTGGACTCCCAAATATTTCTTCCGTATCATCAATGTTAGTCTCATAGCACATAAAGAATGGGATGATTGATGTCTCTTATCTTTCCTGAGTACTCCCTGGGGGAATAAAGAAAAGATTTGTCACAGAAGGAAAACCACATTGTCAACACCTATCTCAGGACTCCCCTTCCTCTCTCTATCTCTCTTTCCGTATGCCCCTCCTTTTTTTCTCACTTGAAGAAATATATTCAGCTTGTCAAGCAAAAACAAAGCAATTTTTACTCACCCCAAACCTTGCCATTTAGATACTTTAAAGGATTTTCTTACTATTTTTCAGATATTTTTGTAATTATGTGGAAAATTTACTAGTCCTAACATCTTACAAACGTTAGTTTCTTTATTACTTGGGTTTTTTTTTTCAATTCAACATAACAGGACTATCTCTCCAAGTTCCTAAGTTAACATGCATATAATTCAGTGACTACATCAGTATTTGTGCTTCTTTTTTAAATAGTTAATTACAGATTTATTATCTACTACCACAACCTCAGTCCCACTTTAATGTATACCCTGGAAATTG